TCCCTTAGGTTATGTTGCCAGGTCCTGCATGGTTCCCTTAGGTTATGTTGCCAGGTCCAGCATGGTTCCCTTAGGTTATGTTGCCAGGTCCTGCATGGTTCCCTTAGGTTATGTTGCCAGGTCCTGCGTGGTTCCCTTAGGTTATGTTGCCAGGCTCTGCATGGTTCCCTTAGGTTATGTTGCCAGGCTCTGTAGGGTTCCCTTAGGTTATGTTGCCAGGCCCTGTAGGGTTCCCTTAGGTTATGTTGCCAGGCCCTGTAGGGTTCCCTTAGGTTATGTTGCCAGGTCCTGCGTGGTTCCCTTAGGTTATGTTGCCAGGTCCAGCATGGTTCCCATAGGTTATGTTGCCAGGTCCTGCATGGTTCCCTTAGGTTATGTTGCCAGGTCCAGCATGGTTCCCTTAGGTTATGTTGCCAGGTCCAGCATGGTTCCCTTAGGTTATGTTGCCAGGCCCTGTAGGGTTCCCTTAGGTTATGTTGCCAGGTCCAGCATGGTTCCCTTAGGTTATGTTGCCAGGCCCTGTAGGGTTCCCTTAGGTTATGTTGCCAGGTCCTGCATGGTTCCCTTAGGTTATGTTGCCAGGTCCTGCATGGTTCCCTTAGGTTATGTTGCCAGGTCCAGCATGGTTCCCTTAGGTTATGTTGCCAGGTCCTGCGTGGTTCCCTTAGGTTATGTTGCCAGGTCCTGTAGGGTTCCCTTAGGTTATGTTGCCAGGTCCAGCATGGTTCCCTTAGGTTATGTTGCCAGGTCCTGCGTGGTTCCCTTAGGTTATGTTGCCAGGTCCTGTAGGGTTCCCTTAGGTTATGTTGCCAGGTCCAGCATGGTTCCCTTAGGTTATGTTGCCAGGTTCTGTAGGGTTCCCTTAGGTTATGTTGCCAGGTCCTGCATGGTTCCCTTAGGTTATGTTGCCAGGTCCAGCATGGTTCCCTTAGGTTATGTTGCCAGGTCCTGCATGGTTCCCTTAGGTTATGTTGCCAGGTCCTGCATGGTTCCCTTAGGTTATGTTGCCAGGCTCTGTAGGGTTCCCTTAGGTTATGTTGCCAGGCCCTGTAGGGTTCCCTTAGGTTATGTTGCCAGGCTCTGTAGGGTTCCCTTAGGTTATGTTGCCAGGCCCTGTAGGGTTCCCTTAGGTTATGTTGCCAGACCCAGTAGGGTTCCCTTAGGTTATGTTGCCAGGCTCTGTAGGGTTCCCTTAGGTTATGTTGCCAGGTCCTGCGTGGTTCCCTTAGGTTATGTTGCCAGGTTCTGTAGGGTTCCCTTAGGTTATGTTGCCAGGCTCTGTAGGGTTCCCTTAGGTTATGTTGCCAGGCTCTGTAGGGTTCCCTTAGGTTATGTTGCCAGGCTCTGTAGGGTTCCCTTAGGTTATGTTGCCAGGCTCTGTAGGGTTCCCTTAGGTTATGTTGCCAGGTCCAGCATGGTTCCCTTAGGTTATGTTGCCAGGCTCTGTAGGGTTCCCTTAGGTTATGTTGCCAGGTCCTGCATGGTTCCCTTAGGTTATGTTGCCAGGCTCTGTAGGGTTCCCTTAGGTTATGTTGCCAGGTCCTGCATGGTTCCCTTAGGTTATGTTGCCAGGCCCTGCATGGTTCCCTTAGGTTATGTTGCCAGGCCCAGCATGGTTCCCTTAGATTATGTTGCCAGGTCCAGCATGGTTCCCTTAGGTTATGTTGCCTGGTCCAGCATGGTTCTCTTAGGTTATGTTGCCAGGTCCTGCATGGTTCCCTTAGGTTATGTTGCCAGGTCCAGCATGGTTCCCTTAGGTTATGTTGCCAGGCCCTGCATGGTTCCCTTAGATTATGTTGCCAGGTCCTGCATGGTTCCCTTAGGTTATGTTGCCAGGTCCTGCATGGTTCCCTTAGGTTATGTTGCCAGGTCCAGCATGGTTCCCTTAGGTTATGTTGCCAGGCTCTGTAGGGTTCCCTTAGGTTATGTTGCCAGGCTCTGTAGGGTTCCCTTAGGTTATGTTGCCAGGTCCTGCATGGTTCCCTTAGGTTATGTTGCCAGGCTCTGTAGGGTTCCCTTAGGTTATGTTGCCAGGTCCTGCATGGTTCCCTTAGGTTATGTTGCCATGCCCTGTAGGGTTCCCTTAGGTTATGTTGCCAGGCTCTGTAGGGTTCCCTTAGGTTATGTTGCCAGGTCCAGCATGGTTCCCTTAGGTCATGTTGCCAGGTCCAGCATGGTTCCCTTAGGTTATGTTGCCAGGTCCAGCATGGTTCCCTTAGGTTATGTTGCCAGGTCCAGCATGGTTCCCTTAGGTTATGTTGCCAGGTCCAGCATGGTTCCCTTAGGTTATGTTGCCAGGTCCAGCATGGTTCCCTTAGGTTATGTTGCCAGGTCCAGCATGGTTCCCTTAGGTTATGTTGCCAGGTCCAGCATGGTTCCCTTAGGTTATGTTGCCAGGTCCAGCATGGTTCCCTTAGGTTATGTTGCCAGGTCCAGCATGGTTCCCTTAGGTTATGTTGCCAGGTCCAGCATCGTTCCCTTAGGTTATGTTGCCAGGCCTTGCAGAGCTCTCTTAGGTCCTGCATGGCTCTGCAAACCTTGCAGAGCTCTCTTAGGTCCTGCATGGCTCGGCAAACCTTGCAGAGCTCTCTTAGGTTATGTTGCCAGACCTTGTAGAGTTCTCTTAGGCTATGGACTTTTCACTTTTCAAAGGACCTTGGAAATTTGTATAGCATTTTGGTTTCATGCTGCAGTAGTTAAGTCTCCAATGTGGCTTTGATGCTGCAGTTGTTAAGTCTTTCATATAGCTTTCATTCTGCAACTGTGGATAAACTTTGATTTCAATTGAATGCATTAATTATGATAAAATTGACATGCACTAAAAGGAGTAAAAATCATTATAAGTTGATTTGCTCAGATGTGGTATCCAGACTGCCTATGAGCCAAGCTTCTCTGAAGCGGACTGTACATGAGGTAGAATGGTAGGCTGTAGCTATTCAATTCATCTGTTGAAGCTAGACCACATCAGAACATTGAACATATTTCATTAGAATAAAAAGAAAAATGAAATACAGCTAAATAGGCTCTCTACTATAATGTACCTTACCACTACCTAGCCTAGCTGCTCACTTCGTAGCCTTCATCGCTCACTAGTATTTTGATATGAACCTGGTAGTTTCTTATTAAATTAACTATTAGATCAGTGTTATTCAGTGATCACTATAACTAGATATTAATTTGTAAATCTTATTATTAAAACTTAACTATTTTTATGATATAATAAGATTTAACTAGGATTGATAATTCTTATATATGATATATTCAGGTAAGACTCTCTTAGGATTATGCTTAATGAACTATATTTAGAGCTACTAACGATATTTTTTACTCTTGGCCGCCTCTGAAAGATCTTCAGTCTAAGAGGAGTTGTTAGTTATTATTTATATTAGATATAAATTGGATCCAATTAATTTATATATGAGCATTAGTACTCATTCCTATGCTGACTTCAAGACCAGGTGCATAAGAGGTTGTAAACTCTGGGATCACTCTTGTTGTGATCTAGGCACTATATTTTGTGGCATAGTGATGGTATGGTGTTGTAGCGAAGCCGTAAACACCATAGGAGAAGTTACTCTTTCACTTGATAACACTTGTGTCACGTGATGTGGATTCATTTTTAGATCAAGATGGTGTTCTGCGCCTCAATCAAAACATATATTATTTGGTGTAACACTAAGTATACTATGTTTATGTTGTGTTTGGTGCTTGAGTTTAGCAGTCTAGTAAAACACTGATGCTGAGGCTTGTAAGCGAGAGGTTCGCCTACTGGCCCAGCGGCCCACGTCCACCAACGGGTCTGTTGAAGCCGGATATGAAGCCGGATTCTGAATATGTTGTCCTTGTCAATTACTATTATTTTGAGTTAGAACTTATCTAAAGGATTAAGCTAGGAATAAATTGACGATGTTTCAATTGTATTATATTATCATTATATATTTCTTTCTAATAGTGGTGTAACGTCACTGGAGACGTCACACATGCTGATACATCAAACTGTGTTAAACATCCACTCTAGCTGGCTTTGTTCTAATTATAGTCTTCAAGAGTCTATGCGGTTTGGCTATTTATAGCCTAGCTTGCCACACGTGGCCCTTTGTCCTTGTCGTATATCTCCATAAATACATATTATATTATATTTAGATATTTGTGATGGTCTTTTCCACAGCAATACTTAATTCTTTCATATGACTTGGAGTTAAGTATTTAATGATTCTTTCATACAACGGTTGTTAAATCTCTCAAGTGGCTTTAACGCTGCGGTAGTTAAGTCTCCCAACTGGCTTATATTTTTTTAAACAATCATTTGAGCACTAATTTTGATTATAGTTTCTTGAAATAGGTAGTCAAGCTTGCTATGTCAAGCTATAACTATATAACTAGCAGCTATAACTAGCTGCTAATAATAACCAACTCTTAATATTGATTGACCTGTGATTAATAATCTAAAGAGAGAGTTCTTTCTTCCTCTTCTTGATGTTACAGTGTTGTTGATCATATGATTCATATAGTTAAAAGAAATCCATTAGGTTTTTGTAAAGGATAAAAGTACTTTCAATATATTACCGTTCTTGTCTTTACGAATGCCAAGTCTGCAAGAGTGGTTAAAGCCTTAGGGTCAGTAGGTATTTTAACTTCAGTTTATGATGAATCGTGTAGTGCCATTGACGGCTGGTACTCACGGATGTACATGCTAACTCTAATGTGTAAGGATACCTGGTTGATACCTGGTTGATGGGGTTCTGGGAGTTCTTCTACTCCCCAAGCCCGGCCCGAGGCCAGGCTCGACTTGTGAGAGTTTGGTCCACCAGGCTGTTGCTTGGAGCGGCCCGCAGGCCCACATACCCACCACAGCCCGGTTGGTCCGGCACTCCTTGGAGGAATAAATCTAGTTTCCTCTTGAAAATGTCCATGAAAAAGGATGTTTTTTGTCAGTCTCAGGATCATGTTTTCCTCTATTTCCTTTTTGTTTATTAATGTAATCTGGTCCTACTTAACAGCATAGTATCGGCCAACCTGAAGGGCACAGTGTACTGCACCGCTATTGCTGCTGGTGGAGAGGAGGAGTGGAACTTTGCCTGGGGCCAGTACCTGGCCTCCAACCTGGGCTCTGACAAGGCCACGCTCCTCTCTGCCCTGGGATGTACCAAGCAGATCTGGATCCTCTCCAGGTAAGCTTAAGCACCCTAAATAATTAGTCAGAAATTTCATAGAACTATAGAGATTGTAACTTATCTTTTTAACATTACTGGACCAACAGCTACTATGGATGGAATACACAAAATGTGGGCTTTTTCAACCCTTAAATGTTCATATTTTATACTTTTTTAATATGTAAACAACCCAGGAATGAAGAAATGACAAAATCTAAATTTTCGAGGCCTATTATTGTTCATGTTTGTCCTAAATTAGGCCTAAGAAAGGGTATGTCAGGAATAGGATTTCATATAACCTAACTATGATTAGTTAGGTACTTTTTAGGTACTTTAAGATTAGTACTTTTAGGTACATTAATTTTTAGAGGATAGGTAAGAAAATATATGTTATTAATCTAACGTTCCCCTTACCCCCCTCCTTCCCTCCATCAACGCCATCCCCTTTCTCTTCTCCATTCCCATCACCACCTTTCCCCTCCCTCCTCCATCCCAATCAACGAATTCCCCCTCCCTCCCCATCACCGCCTTCTCTTCCCTCCTCCATCCCCATCAATGCCGTCCCTCCTCCATCCCCATCAATGCCGTCCCTCCTCCATCCCCATCAATGCCGTCCCTCCTCCATCCCCATCAATGCCGTCCCTCCTCCATCCCCATCAATGCCGTCCCTCCTCCATCCCCATCAATGCCGTCCCTCCTCCATCACCCATCACTGCCGTCCACAGGTACCTGGACATGGCCTTCAGCGCTGACAGCGGCATACTGAAGCGAGACGCTCCCTCTGTCTTCCGCTCCATTGCCAGCAACGACGTTGGACGCGACTTGGCCTGGAGCTACCTCAGGGACCAGTTCGAACACATTCTTGATTAGTGAGTCTACTTCCTTTTGTCGTAAAAAGCATTAAATTGTTTAATGTCCCAGACATCGAGTGCATTCTTGTACCATGCATTCTTGACCGGGAAAGGGAGCCGGTCGGCCGAGCGGACAGCATGCTGGAATTGTGATCCTGTGGTCCTGGGTTCGATCCCAGGCGCCGGCGAGAAACAATGGGCAGAGTTTCTTTCACCCTATGCCCCTGATACCTAGCAGTAAAATAGGTACCTGGGTGTTAGTCAGCTGTCACGGGCTGCTTCCTGGGGGTGGAGGCCTGGTCGAGGACCGGGCCGCGGGGACACTAAAAAGCCCCAAAATCATCTCAAGATAACCTCAAGATAACCACGTCGCAGTGAACTGTCAGCGTGGTGTAGCGGGTTAAGTTCTGGATAGGGTTACAGGTGATTACAGAGACTGGAGCTCGCTGTGAGTTGTGGGAACCGACTTGTGGGATTTATATTTATTTAATTTATATGAATTTATGTAGTGTTAATATTTACATTAATTTATATATTTTCATAGTAATTTGTTTGATATTTAGCGGACTGTATTTCTGCAATATTTTCACAAATCAACTCCTTGCACATTAGGGGGGGTTATATTAAATTTATATATATACAGCCAATCAAACTACAGTATTAAACTACATATATTAGTAAATGAATTTTGGAGGTCTTATCTTATTGTATGACAGTCTTAGTCCACCAGGTAAACAAGGATAATGACACCTAATAATCCTCTTAGTTGAGACTGGCATCCACCATGTACTGGTGTACCAAGTAACTGTACTGCTTCCTCTTCTACACCTGTTAAAAAAGACACTTACTGTAAAGCCGGAATCCTATATATATGACAGTTATATCAGAGGAAACATTGGTATATTATATGATAATTACTGGATTGAGTCGTTCTCTCTCGTGCTAACCAGTTCGCCCGTATATCTACCTAATATTAACTGGCCAGAAAAGGACTAGACAAGAAAATGGGTTTTGGTAAGACACTTCCCTTGTTTAGATGTTGACTGCGTGTTAATAATGGAAGAAGCACTAATTTGATCTCCATAACACTTCATCCAAGGGAGAATTATAGGAGCTATACTAGCTCCAACGACTCTGGTCTAACAATGGCTGACCTCTCTTCCACTACTGATGCTCCTGGCTCTCCTTGTCCAGATGTCAGTAATTGGTAGAAGGGGTCACATTTACTCTATTTTGATTCTGATAACTAAGTTTATTCATATGAGATGTTTTTATGATGCTAAAAGTACAAAGACTGCTGTATTAAGAATAATTCCCAGCAGAATAGCTTGTGAGTTTAATAGCGTTATGTGGCAATGATATACCATTTTTTATTGTCGGAAAATTCCACTACGGGCTACATTTCCTATGAGTTAACTTGCGTATACAACAGCAGCAATATTATCTGCTTATTGTATTTATTATTAGTAAATGGTGTCGGGTTTTCCGCCATGAATCTACGTCTTGCCGGTGTGACATCACCGTCTTGCAAGATGCTAATTGCCTTCTCTTGATCACTTTAGATTCACAATCACACTGTATTTCTTCATAAATCCCCACCGCGTCCGAAAGGAGGTACATCGACTTCTGACTCCCCCTTCTCACAATATTTCCTTCTAAACTCACAAGAACCTCATTATTTTTTTCTTATTAACCTGCTATCACCTATTAATCATATCCCAATATGTACAGATCCTCCAATATGGAGGGAACAACCAGGAAGACCTCTCACCTGGAGGCAGCCTAGGCTACGTCCATTGATAAGCATGACATTGCAGGCATACACAGAGTAGGGGGAATACCAGGCATTGTCCAGGGCTGTCTGTATGTCTCCCATCTGTTCATCGATCTATTTGCCTATCCATCTATCTATTCATCTATCTGTCCAACTATATATCTATATATTTCTCCAACCATCTATCTATTTATCTGTTCATACATTTCTCCATGTATCCTTCCATCTACCCATCCATCCATCCATCCATCCATCCATCCATCCATCCATCCATCCATCCATCTATCTATCTATCCATCTATCCATCCAACTATCTATCGATCTATTCATGTTTATCCATCTATCCAACCATCATCGTATCTATCTATCGATCTCTCTATCCATCTATTCATCTGTTTATCCATTTATCCCTCATGTTCTCATCGGTCTATCCATCTCTATATCTTCTCTCTAACTTAGTCTATTTCACTCTATTTCTCAGTTATTATATCTCTCTTCACTCCCTCGTCTCTCTCTGTATATAAAACAAAAAATATAAATGTTTTAAAATGAAGTACTTCATTGTTTTGTAGTTTTGGGAAATTGTTTGCAGCGGTCAAGAGAAGAGAAGGCAGCATTGATGTTCTGTGTTTATGGTAGTATGGGTGAAGTTTGAATATCGGACAATGAGGCTGTGGCAGAGTGGTGGCTGTATTTAGCTTGTGTTCGCTAGGATACGGCTGAAAAATTAATATGAGAAATTTACTATAATTTTCCTGGCATCAGTTAATAATGCTGCATATTAAATGAAATATAATTTATATGATTTTTCTGTTTCAATATATTTACGGGATAAGTCGGCATCTATAGTGCCAAAAATCGTGGTGGGATCTGAATGTGAAATTGGCACGTTGTTCCTTTTTTTTTTTAATTCTGGCAACGCCGACCAGCCTGTGATCATTCCTTTCCCCAGACCCTCTGCCAATTTGGGTGAGCCTCCAACGTCAGCGTATTGCCTAACTTTGAACAGACAGACAAACAGACAGACAGACATTCTAATAGTATAGATATAACTATGAAATAATTCATTGTAACTGATATTGGCTTCGCTCTTCCACAACAGCATCGGTGTGGTGTCCAAGGTTGGTGACCTGGTTGTTGCAGCCACCAACGAGTTCAACACTAACGAGGAGAAGCACGAGGTGGGTCCTCATATATAGTATTATTGGATGTTAGGGTGTATTATACCGCAAGTGCATCCTGTTCAGTCTTCGGGATGTTATTACAGACTACGGGATGTTATTACAGACTACGGGATGTTATTACAGACTACGGGATGTTTTGTAATGTTTTGAATGGTCTGACAGATGTAAGGTGAACGGCTTCGGAGTACCCAGGTCGAGGGTTCGAATCATCCCCATTGTTCCAATTGAACTTCTCATTTATATATGACTTTATTGTGATAATTTCCATTTGTGTTTGATGCTGGATCATGGTGGAGAACTACATTTAACTATTCCAGAGTGCATGGGGGGTTATGTGTAAAACCTGGACTGCCTTCATTAGGGACCTCCAAACGTCCTCTGGAGTCAATGGAATCCCAGGTTTTATAACTTATACCATGTCGTAGTCAAGCGGTATGGTGTGCGGCTTGGGAGTGCCCAGGTAAAGGGTTTGATTCCTTTGCATTGCTCCAGTTGATTTTCTCACTGATATAAAATCAGTGAGAAATTTAGTGTGGCTTCCATATGTATTTGTAGCCTCTTGAATGTTATAGGAGGCTTATGAATGTTATTGCTGGATCCTGTATGTTATGGCAGGTTACTGAATGGTATGATAGGCTCTGTATGTTATATGGCAGGTTACTGAATGGTATGATAGGCTCTGTATGTTATGGCAGGTTACTGAATGGTATGATAGGCTCTGTATGTTATGGCAGGTTACTGAATGGCAGGTATGAATGGTATGATAGGCTCTGTATGTTATGAATGGTATGATAGGCTCTGTATGTTATGGCAGGTTACTGAACTGTATGATAGGCTCTGTGGCACTCAACTGGGAGCAACGTGTGTACCCCATCAATTCAACTGTCTGATCAGCCCTATGGGTATTGGATAGGATTGCCATGTCCATGGACCCCATCCCCAGACCTCCAGTGTCAGATATTGATACAGATAATGACTCCAAAGAGCCTCCACTTACGGGCTCACCATAGCCCATGCTACTTGGAACATTTTGTTCCAAGTGACCATACATTGAACATATGGTCAATGTCCTTCCTATGTGCTTCTTAAAAGACTATCGCATCCTCTCCCATCTCTAAATTTGGCTTTCACAAGCGTCGCAGCACAACTGACGTTTTAGTGGACCTGGAGGTCTACATTTTTTTTTTTTTTTTTGAGATATATACAAGAGTTGTTACATTCTTGTACAGCCACTAGTACGCGTAGCGTTTCGGGCAGGTCCCTGGAATACGATCCCCTGCCGCGAAGAATCGTTGTTACAACCAAGTACACATTTTACTGTTGCGTTAAACAGAGGCTACAGTTAAGGATTTGCGCCCAGTAAATCCTCCCCGGCCAGGATACGAACCCATGACATAGCGCTCGCGGAACACCAGGCGAGTGTCTTACCACTACACCACGGAGACTGTGTCAACTGTGTGAGACTGTGTCGAACATTCGTTCGGCCTTTGTCGTTAGGTCCTCCGTGGTGGTTGTTCTTTTAGACTTAGAAGAGATTTATGATACCACATGGAGGTACAATATTTTGTTCCAGTTTCATTCTTTAGGCCTTAGTGGCAAACTCCCACTCTTCCTTTATTTCTTACGTTCTCAACGTTCCTTCCGAGTGAGACTTGGAACCACCTTCTCTGCCTCCTTTCCCCAATACAAAAGTGTTTCCCAGGGTAGTGTTCTGAGCACTACTCCTTTTTCCTCGTTGCTGTTAATGATCTTACTTCCTCCCTTTCCTTTGGTGTTTTCTCGGACCTTTGTGTAGATGATCTCACTCTCTGCTGTCGGGGGAATGGCTTCCCTTTCCTCCAACGCCAGTTCCAACTTTGCAATTGATGCTGTGTCGTCCTGGGCCACCAATCATGGCTTCACGGTCTCTACTTCTAAGACTTGTGCTGTGACCTTTACTCAGAGGCAAGTCATTATTCACCCCTTATTGTCGATCTATGGTAGTCCCCATCTCTAAAAGGATTCTGCAAGGCTTTTGGGGTTGATTTTTGACACTCTTTGTCTTGGTCTCCTGCATGTTTTTTACCTCCGAGTTGAATGCTCTCACATTCATTCCATTCACCCTTACATTCGGTGTCTTGTCCCATACCTCCTTGGGTGCGGATAGGTGCACCCTGCTCTCTTTGCACTCCTCTCTCGGGCTGTCTAAACTGGATTATGGCTGCCCGTCCTTCTCCCCTGCCTCTCCTTTGGTCCTACACCTTGTTGGGTTGCAGCTGATCTCTGGTGCCATCTGTTCATGCCGTATCCAGAGCTTGTTCGTTGAAACGGACGTCTTGCCACTCCAGGATCTTAGAGATGGTTACTGACTTCGGTACCTCGCCAGGTCTCTGCAGCATCATTCTCATTCTCATTTGTACAGGGCTATGGCTGTTGCCTCTCCAGTGGGCCCTGTTCCGTTTCACCTCCTTTTTGTGTTCGGATGTCTTGCTTTCAAGTTACCCTTTCAGTTTGTGTTAGCAATGTCTATCCTTGTGTCGTTCCAGACTTACGTCCCTGGTGGGTCCCGCTTGTGAGGCTTAGCAAGTATTCGACCCACGTGGTTAAGGCTTCTACCTCTCCTGTTGTTCTGAAACGCCTCTTCATGAACATTTTCTTTCACACTCACATTTTGTTGCTTTCTTCACAGATGGGTCTAAGTCTGCCGACGGTGTTAGATGCGCTGTTGTCCTTACAGACCAAACCTATATGGGGCGCTTACCTCCGGAGGTTACCATCTTCACGGCTGAAGTGTATGGTATTTTGTATGCCCTTTGTTGATTGTTCTTTCATCATTAGACTCTCCTTTGTCATTTGGTTGACTCTCATAGTGCTCTCATCGCTTTGGAGTCATTTAATCCCATACATTCTGGGGTAGTTGAAATCATGTATTAGCTTTTTCTAATCTCAAGCATATTTAAGCAGGTTGACTTTTGCTAAGTTCCCAGCCGTATTGGTATTTCATTAAATGAGTGTGCGGACACTGCTGCTAAAGTGACTCTCCGCAATTGTCCTATTTCCCGAAATGGAGTTCATTATTCCGAATTCTGCCCAATTGTTCATTCCTCGTTGGTTGTTGGATCGTTGGCCTTGTGTTACTGGTAACAAACTGCGTGCTCTTAAGTGTAGCCTGTCCCCATGGTCTTCCTCCTACCACCGTAACTGACGGTGGGAAACGGCTCTGGTGAGGTTATGTATTGTCCATATAAGTTTAATTAATGGGCACTTAATGGAGTGCAGCCCTGCTCCTTATTGTCCAAACTGCATTGTTCCTCTTACAGTCATACATCTCCTTGTTGGATGTCCTGACTTCCACGAGTTGCGTGTCTTGCTTCCCATCTGTCTCTCTATAGCATCCTTGGTGAATCTGATACCTTTGAAATAACTCGCCTGTGACGATGTCGATGCCATCTGTTGAGCGCACTTGACCCCATTTTCTGTTCCCAGATGGAAGGATGTGATCTTATTGAAATCCATGCAGTATTCTTCGTACTATTCATCTTCTACTCCTCAGAAGTGATAGAGGTGGTAACTCTGTCGACAGGAATCAGTTCACCCCAGGGCAGTCCTAAACTCAAGACGTGTTTCAGTGGGAACAAGTGGCCGAGTCGGTGTAATCTGATACCCAATGAAGAATTGGTGATTGACGATGTATCCCGGGATGGTCAAGTTGAGTTTCGAGACGGAATTAATGTTCGTCTGTTAAGGCTTGTTATAATTGAAGCCTGTGCGAAAGCCAACGAGTGTGCTGCTAGAGACCCCTGTCAATACGTTGCAGCCAGGCATTGTGTTGCTAGAGACCTGCCAGTGTGGTGCTGCATACTCCTGCCAGCGTGTTGCTAGAAGACCTGCCAGTGTGGTGCTGCATACTCCTGCCAGCGTGTTGCTAGAGACCTGCCAGTGTGGTGCTGCATACTCCTGCCAGCGTGTTGCTAGAGACCTGCCAGTGTGGTGCTGCATACTCCTGCCAGCGTGTTGCTAGAGACCTGCCAGTGTGGTGCTGCATACTCCTGCCAGCGTGTTGCTAGAGACCTGCCAGTGTGGTGCTGCATACTCCTGCCAGCGTGTTGCTAGAGACCTGCCAGTGTGGTGCTGGAGAGTAGAAGTGGTGTTTTGACACGGTGACCATGCTATATAGAACTGGCTCATGATTTACTAAGAAAGATGAACTCGCCTTGGTCTGAAGTACTCAAGGCATGAGTACCATAGAAGACAGACTCAGGGAAGGTACTTTGAGTGATGTACGATAGAAGATTGAAGTGGACTCGCCGGGTTAGAAGATCGCAGACGTTCGTTTGTACTGTGTGAAAGTGACACCTGCTATGTTATGTACTTATGTAATAAGTGTATATAGTTAAGCGGTACAAATTGGGGATGGTTTTTGTTTATTGTATACCCTCATTCCTGTTGGACCTATTACTGCTAGTTCTCAATAACATGCCTATGGCTCGGGGTTGGATCTAGTAAGGCGAGGCACTAAGGCCCCATTGAAAGTTTGATATTCGAGAACCCGGTCACTGGCTAAGTGAGGCCTTAAGAGTCATGTGCTTTTGTTCTCGTATTGGCATCCTCAGTGATATTTAGCTCCTTTTGAGTATCCCGCACATTTGACGGAGTTACATAGTCTCCCTGGCTTGGTGCCTTCTTTTGATTATACAGTGTTTTACTGTGTTACCCTTCAGGCCACCCGGGTCATTGTGCTCCCCCGGCCTTAGCCATCATTATAGCTGTTTCATCCATCATAAAACCTGTTTCATCCAACATAACAGCTGTTGCATCCATCATGACATCTGTTTCATTCATCATACCATCTGTCTCATCCATCATACCAGCTGTATCATTCATCATAATATATGTCTCATCCATCATAATGTCTCATCCATCTTAATAGTTGTCTTATCCATCACAACAGCTGTCTCATTCATCATTACAGCTGTCTTTCATCATATCAGCTATGTACTCCATCACAATTGCTGTCTCATTCATCACAAATGCTGCCCTATTCATCACAACAGGCGTATCAATGTCTCATCCATCACACATGTTGCCTTACTAATCACAACTGCTCAATCATCCATCATAATAGCTGTCATCCATCAAACAGCTGCATTATTTGCAATCGTTACTGGGAAATTGATTTCCTCTTGATAAGAGTATGATGCTTAGGTCTACAGATAATGGCTAAGAGCTCACCCGGTGATCACCTTCCGTGACGAGCTGATGCAACTCTAAAGAGACGAGAATTTATTCAACTCCTCATAGTTTCCCTTTCGGTATGCCAACCCTTTGTTTCCCAGTTCTTTTTTGGGGGAGATAATTCCTAGCTCAACCAGGTACTCAAATCTCAATACACTATGATCACTCATTCACAAGGGGGCTTCCAACTTAACTTCCCTTATATCCGACTCATTTAGGATAAATATCAGATCAAGCAAAGCTGGTTCATCCTCTCCTCTCATTCTTGTCGGTCCCCTGACGTGTTGACTTAGAAAGTTTCTTGTTGCCACGTCCAGCAGCTTAGCTCTCTATATGTCTGGTCCTCCATGTGGGTATCTGTTCTCCCAATCTATCTTCCCGTAGTTGAAGTCTTCCATGATTAGTAGTCTGGATCTGTTCCTGCTAGCCACAGAAGCTGCTCTCTCTCTGTTATGGTGATGGTGGCCATGTTGTTTCTATCATATTCCTGTCTGGGTCTTCTGTCGTTTGGTGGGGGTTATGTATGACTACTACTATAATTTTCTGTCCTCCAGTTGCTATGGTGCCTGATATGTAGTCACTGAAACCTTCACAGCCCTGATTAACCATCTTTTCAAAACTACAACCTTTTCTTATCAGCAAAGCTACACCACCTCCTCCTCTCCCTTCTCTCTCTTTCCTCACTACATAGTAGCCCTGTGGAAACACTGCATTTGTTATGGTTTTCGTTAGCTTTGTTTCTGTGAGTGCTATTATGTCTGGATTTTCTTCTACTGCCCATTCTCTGAGTTCACTTGTTTTATTTGTAATCCCATCTATGTTAGTGTACATTGCCTTGAAGCTCACTTTTTTCTGTTCATTTTCTTGTCCCCTTCATGGTGAGCATTCTGCTGGTGGTGAAAGCTGTTCCATGGGTGTGAAGATATGCGAGGTGGTTTGCAGGGTCTCAGAGGATTTTGGGGTGGAGGGTGGGGGTTCAAGGGAAAGGGGGAAAGGTAGGGTATGGGGTAAGGAGATAGGGGGGACATGGAGGATACGGGGTGAGGGGTAGGAGGAATAGGGAGAGTATAGGATGAAGGGGGAGGGGGGACAGGGGGCGAAAGGCAGGAGAGGAGGACATGGTGGGAATGAGGGATGGGTGACAGGGTCGGAATGGGGTGGGGGAGGGAGAGTTGGGTGAGTATTTGAATGGGGATAGGTAGGGTGAGGAGGAAGGGAGGGTTTCTATGCAGAGGGGGGTGGTGGTGTTGCCTTCCCCTCTGGTGTTGCTGGTATGCTGGTTGTGGGTTCCCCTCTTGTCTCTGGGACTGTTGTGTTGTGGGCCCTGATTTCCTGGTTTACTCCTCTCTCTCACTGCGCTTCCTCCATGCCTCTGCTGCCCTGGCTCTCTCCTCCTTCGTCCTGTCCCTCTGCAGGAATACTTTTTTGTATTCCTCCACATACTGCAGATGACTCTTCCTTTCTAGGAAAGTACACGTACGTAGTATGTGTGTGTGTGTGTGTGTGTGTGTGTGTGTGTGTGCATGTGTTAGAGATAAATATACATAGTAACTATAATAGAGACAAAATAGATTGGTTAGAAAGGCAGGGTCCAAGGGCTAACAGCTCGATTCTGAAGACACAAATAATAAATACACTGGCTCAGTCATTCCCTGCGACACTAAGAAGCGCTCACCAATAAATGTCATATTTTTACTCCTCAGCTGGAGTTGTTCAGAGAGGAACACGGAGAGGAGCTGGGAGGCGCTGTTCAAGCAGTTGATCAAGCGATTGAAAATACAGCCAACAACATCGCCTGGATGGACTACAACTATGACGTCATCGTCCAGTGGTTGGAAGACCAGGGCTTCTCCTCCCAGTTCGGTCGTTAGCCCACCGAACGACCGTACTATCTTGTGATAAGAGTTCCAGTTAACTTGGCATGCTAGTACCTGGAACTATGTCTACGGGTGATAAGGCTTTACAGATAATTGTTTATATCTGCACTTACACGTGAATTTATACGCGCGCTCCTGCAGGCGCGCTCATGTGTGTATAGGAAATTAATTTTCATTTGTATTTTCATGGTATTGATGCAACTTTTTTTTAATAAACACAATATCCTGGCCATGTCTGAAAATAGTATGCGTTAATCACCTAATTAATAACAATATTGATTGTAATTAAAATAGGAAAATTACTTTTTCTAGTAATTATAAAATACTGCATAATAAACAATATATTGAGTGGTTAATTTTAATTTCAATTTAAATAATTTTTAAAACCTCTAAAGTCGTGTTCAAAATCAGCAGAGAATAAAATATTTGTCAACTTTAATCCATACAAAATATTATTATTCATTAATAAAACTAAAAATAAATTGGCTTCAGTGCTTCCACCAGATTTTCCTCCAAATGAGTTGTGTTACCAATTTTTATGCGGAAACAAGTTAACAATAAAGAATAAAGCTGGACAGCTTGCACAAAATAAACAGTACAATTTATCCTGAAGTGAGATGATGCACCAATTATTGTAGTTTGGTCATTATTGTAAAGATCGACAAGAATAAATTACACGTATTACGAACCTATTCTGCAAACAGAATGAGCTTTATTCAATGGAGCATAAATATCAGAGATACTTTTCTCAGTTATTATACAATAAAATATGCATTTAAGAAAGTGATGTACTATCAAAGATAGCACAGCAATATTTGTCTTTAAGAAACATCATCAAAATGGAATTTGCTATGTCAGAGGACAGGTTGCACAGCCTTCTCTCCAAGTCACTCTTGTTGCCGGTGGATTTTTTTTTTTTGAGATATATACAAGAGTTGTTACATTCTTGTACAGCCACTATTACGCGTAGCGTTTCGGGCAAGTCCTTAATCCTATGGTCCCTGGAATACGATCCCCGCCGCGAAGAATCGTTTTTTCATCCAAGTACACATTTTACTGTTGCGTTAAACAGAGGCTACAGTTAAGGAATTGCGCCCAGTAAATCCTCCCCGGCCAGGATACGAACCCATGACATAGCGCTCGCGGAACGCCAGGCGAGTGTCTTACCACTACACCACGGAGACTGCTAAATGGTTCCACCAGAAGCGCTCTTCTCCGTCAGTCGTGGGCAAGCCTCTCTCCCTCAAGCCAACTGCTGGCCGTCCTTCGACTTCGTTCATCCTGCATGTGGCCATTTGCATTGTGCTTTCATTTTAGTACTGAATTAGTTTTACGTGCATGTTTAACCTCTCGCTTGTTGTTTTGCCTCCTGTGTAATCCCGGTTGACATCATTGTCCGAAGTTATCTATGCTGACATCATTATCTGAAGTATCCCCAATTTACTTCATTGTCTGAAGTAATCCCGGTTTACATAATTTTCTGAAGTAATCCCCATTGACATCATTGTCTGACGTAATCCCGGTTGATATAATTGTCTGAAAAAAATCCATTTACATCATTGTCTGAAGTAATCCTGGTTGACATCATTGAAGTAATCACGTTGACATCATTGAGGTAATCCCGGTTGACATCGTAGTTTGAAGTAAGCTAGGTTGACATCATTGTTTGAAGTAATCCCAGTTGACATCATTGTTGGAGGTAATCCAAGCTATCATTGTCTGAAGTAATCCCGGTTGACATCATTGTCTGAAGTAATCCCGTTGACATCATTGTCTGAAGTAATCCCAGTTGACATCATTGTTTGAAGTAATCCAGGTTGACATCATTGTCTGAAGTAATCCAGGTTGACATCATTGTCTGAAGTAATCCTGTTGACATCATTGTCTGAAGTAATTCCAGTTGACACCATTGTTTGAAGTAATCCCGGTTGACATCATTGTCTGAAAAAATCCCGTTGACATCATTGTCTTAAGTCATCCCGGTTGACATCACTGTTTGAAGTAATCTCGTTGACATCATTGTCTGAAGTAATCCCATTTGAGGCCCCTGGGCTACAGGTACTGTGAGGCTCCTGGGCTACAGGTACTGTGAGGCTCCTGGGCTACAGGTACTGTGAGGCTCCTGGGCTACAGGTACTGTGAGGCTCCTGGGCTACAGGTACTGTGAGGCTCCTGGGCTACAGGTACTGTGAGGCCCCTGGGCTACAGGTACTGTGAGGCCCTGTTGGAAATTTCCAACACTAATACACTACCATTGTATTATAATACATCATTATCATATACTAATTACAGTAGTTATTAATTTCACTAACGGTAGTGTTAACATGAATTAATATTTCTTTATCTGAGCATATTGCTAATATTCTCACGACATCGAGAGACAGGATTGCGTCAGATAATGTACATTTAAACATATTTATTACCAATATGTTAGAGAATTGAATGTGTTTCTCTAAAAATATTAGTATTCCGTACAGTAATTAACTACGGATAATATAGCTTCCATTAATCCAAAACCGAGAGTTATTAACTGAAATTATTATCAAGTAGCAGTTTCATCTGTTACGTACGAATGCTATGGAGGAGATAAATTTTATCTCCATTTCTCGTTTAACACCATTTAACGAGATTGTGATATTATTTAATTCCCTATAATTGCAACCCGGTTCTCATTAACGCGTTACATCAGTAATTACACGGAAAAGAATTATCCATGGTTAGTAATTTCTGTTGTGAATGCATGAGACGAGTTGAGGGAGGGCGGAGAGACGCCGCCATTATTCCTGCTCCAGCCACGAGCAACGACGCCAACAATTACATCGTGCGTCCCGGGAGAGTCGATTACCACCAATACTACGTTAGGCCCTTGCATTTATCGGCCTAGGAGCGTGCAATTGCTCCCGTAGCTATCTGGAATTGCTTCGGTGGACAACCAGCAGGTTAAGTGCTATAGTAACAAACGAATGTCAACAACACCTGTCGGCCCTGCCCTCCCTCCTCTTTTATCAGCTGATCCTTGAGCTCTCGGCTACCAACAAATGATGTAGCATCACCCGAAGGCAGCTAAGTACACAAACCAACAAGACCAACCCGCATTCTCTCTGTTCGACCTCACTAGTGTTGCTCCCTGGAGCTAGGAAGCTGTACCCGACGTTCACTGCTGCCTCATCAACGAGTCTTCTCTATTGTTCCTCCCTACATTTATCCTGCTACCATGCAAAGTAAGACCGGTAAGGCCCCTTAAGAAAGAAAGTACACCTAACAAGAATAACCCAACTAGCCAGGCTAGCAACATGATTAGTTCAGCTATCTCCCCCTCGGTGGCCGCCGTGGGGGTACCGACTCTCCCCCCGTCAACAATAACAAACAATCTCGGCTGGGCGCAGCGCCGTCTCCGACTCGGGCCATGCAACTATTATGTAGCCATATGGACCAACTTAAACGAGCAGCTGCCCCTTGTTCTGACTTCAAGCGCCTTGTTGATAACCCTTGGATCAAGTTATTAACTCAAGTACATGAAGATCAAATGTCAGTAAACAAAGAGCAGTCGGCCCTAATAATGAACCTGCAAGGCTCATTATTATCTTTGCAGAATGAAGCTGGAGCCTTACTCAAGAACAATCAAGATCTATCTACCAAAGTCGTCCACCTCGAACAAGAATTAAACCTTCTCAAGAACACAGTTACTAACTTTAATCCAGATGAAACCGCTAGAGAACAGGAAGAAATATTGCAACAGTTTGAGAACCATCTGAACAACCTACAACAGCAACACACTGTTACCCAAGACGAAACAGACCAACATAAACTACTTGAGTCTGTAATTATCTCTTCACGTGATTTTCCTCAAGAAACTGATGGAGAAGACTGTGCTGCCATCGTGATCAAAGTATTGCAGGATAAGTTAAGGTATTCAATCCAAAAAAATGACATCAAATCAGCTTATAGAGTGGGTACCAAATCACCTGGTACAAATAACAGAAGAATACGAATAAAACTAGATAGCTGCTCCCGCAAGTCTGATCTTATCTCATCTGCAGTCGCTAGTAAATCCACTGTTTATGTGAATGAATGTCTGACCAGGTTCAGGCAAAATCTCTTTTTTTAAACTGCGTGGTTTCTGCAAAAATTCCCCTACAATTAAACACTGTTTTGTGCGAGATGGTAAAATTATAGCTAGGAGGACTGACACTGGAAAAACCTATTCAATAACCACTGAAGCTCACCTTAATTCTTTCCTCAGTGACTGTGGGATAGCTGCTGTATAGCCTGAATTCAAATTATAATCTCATTTAACTACCTTTGTGTATTTTAGCTCTGCCTTTCCTTTCAAAAGGTTTTAACTTTAGTTAAAAAAAAAAATATTGTCATCTTTATTATTGTCTTTTTTTTTTTGCTCCCATGTTCCATAGTACACTGGCTTTGCCTGTGTCCTCTAGTATTAACTTCATTATCCAGTGTTCCTGAGTGTATCTCTATTTAAACTACCTCAGTTTGTTTTAGTGTAACTTTAGTATTCAACTATAGTGTACTTATAATAGTATAGTAAGCAAGCTTTTCATTTTATTGATTTCATAATTGCTTTTTGACTTTTTTGGTCATCAATTGTTATTAATTATTCTAGTTCATTTTTTACATTCCTAGTTCCCATTAAGTTTTTATTACTTAAATTACCATTAAGTTTATATTACTATAGAATTTTTATTCTACTTTTTTCTTTGTTTTCTATTTTGTAATTTGCCATTCTTGCCTTGTTTTCCTGCAAACAGCCTTTTTATGCAGACAAGTATAGACCCAGAACTAAACCTCTTATCCACTATCTATGGCAATCATCACTTCAATGATCAAATTGCAGATATTTTACAGCACATGATGTAAACAATGTATTAACACATAATCACAATATCTCTGTATTAACTTGTACGTTAGATCCCTAGGTAAACACTTCGATGATGTTAGTGCCTTGATTGAAACTATTGACAACAAATTCTCTTTTATTATACTTACTGAAACGTGGTTGAAAGAGGATACTACTCAACTCTTTAAACATGCCTAACTACTCGGCAATTCACAACTGTCGTCAAATTCAGAGAGGTGGTGGTACTGCTCTTTACTACCACCAAGAACTAACATGCTTAAAAGTAATTAGAACTAGAGACTGCTGTGGGGAGTATATCTTTGCCAGCTTCAGAGTCAAGGGTGCTGAGTCTGTCCTGTCTGTGGGTGCAGTCTATAGAATTCCTAACACTGATGTGTCCGAATTCAATTCAAACCTTAGAAATCTAATACTAGATAACAGACTGAACAAAAACCATCTAATTATCGCAGGGGACTTTAATATTGATCTC